GCCACTTGAGCCACAGCGCCACTTCCAGCTTTTTTCTTTTTGCTTATGTGGTGCTGAGGAATCGAACCCAGGGCCTCATGCATGCAAGGCAAGCGCTCTACCACTGAGCCACCTTCCCAGCCCAAAAATGGTCATTTCTAATTGTCTGGATATCTAGATCTTGAGCAGCTGGTGTTGATTTTAAACCCTGTGTTTTGTGTTCTAGCATGTCCAAAATATTAAAATGTGCTGGCAATGAAGACATCATTACCCTAAGGGCTGAAGATAATGCAGACACCTTGGCACTAGTGTTTGAAGCACCAAGTAAGTGGTACCCTTTTAATGGAGTTGTGATACAGAATATGAAAAGCACAGTGTTTCTTAGAATTTTTGGATGGCTGTATATTAGCTCTGAACACATGCTTTTCTTCAGTTAACATTTGCTTTCTTTTGGTAGATCAGGAGAAAGTTTCAGACTATGAAATGAAGTTAATGGATTTAGATGTTGAACAACTTGGAATTCCAGTGAGTATCACTTTCCAATTGAGGGATGTACTGTGCACATATCTTACATAACTGATAGTTAAGATGTTTAAAGCCTTAATAGCTTTTTTTAAAAAAAAATGTAACACTTCACGAATTTGTGTGTCATCCTTGGGCATCCTCTGTAACGGTCCAATTTTAGTATGTACTGCCGAAGTGAGCACACTAGTAGCTTTTTGTAGACTGCTGCTGCATGCATGCTTCAAAATGGGCTTTTAGTATTTTATATAGCACTTATTTTACTAAACCAGGATTCTAAAGAAATCACAGAAGACATTGCTTGTTGCCAACTGCCTGTGTCAATTCTTTGTTGTTTTTTGTGAAGTGCTTGTTTAAGAATAATTTTAAAGCTTCATTAGGAGAAACTCATTAAGGCTCTTACTAAAGGTGAGCGGAAACATTGGGATGTTTTAGATGCCTAATATGTCTATTACTTTTAGAAAGCAGATGGATGTGCTTGGGCCATTTCTGTCATACGCTAATGTTCTCTTGATTTAGCTCTGGAGAATGATGGGGATGTTCTTGTTCCTGGATAGTTGAATGTGTTCAGAGATCACAAGACAAAGTAATTAGAAAGTATTACATTGTGAATTACTGCTTACTTGTGTGGGGGGGGATAGTACCAGAGCTTATATGCAAAGTCCCACATTTGGCTCAGCTTGCTTGCAGCCAGTATTCTGCTACTCGAGCCATTCCTTCAATCCAGCTTTTGTTGCTGGCTAACTGGAGGTGGGAGTGTTGCAGATTTTTAATTTAGGCTAGCTTTGAACCGAGATCCTCAGGATTTCAGCCTTCTGGGTAGATAGATTATTTGTAGCTGTGAGCCACTTAGATGTTGCATCTTAAAGTGAGAGCACAGATCTATACATTTTCAGCAAATTAGTCTTTTAAAATGTTTCATTTTCTAGGAACAAGAGTACAGCTGTGTGGTAAAGATGCCTTCTGGTGAATTTGCACGTATATGCCGAGACCTCAGTCATATTGGAGATGCTGTTGTAATATCCTGTGCAAAAGATGGAGTGAAATTTTCTGCAAGTGGAGAACTTGGAAATGGAAATATTAAGTTGTCACAAACAAGTAATGTTGATAAAGAGGAGGAAGCTGTAAGTAGTATAGTTTTCTATTTAGATAGCTTCTGCAGACCATTAGTACTACTGTTTAGCACTAGCTTATTTGCTAATATTAAATAAAGTTGCATTGTAAGTAATTTGAAAGTTGGAAGATGCTGAATACTGAAGTGATTTGTCATCTAACTTAAAATGATGTCTGAAATGGGAATACAAATTCAGCAGTTCTTTTACATAACAAAGAACAATAAATTTGTGGATTAAACCCACAGATGTTCTAAGGATAGAATTGAGTAAGCTAGGTGTCTGGCCTTTAGCTTTCTGGAGATAGTCTGCTTCTGCCAAGTGAGTGAGGACAGGATAGAAAGTCAGTAGATAGGTATGGTTAGGGTTAAAAGTCTAGATAAAAGGCTATACTCCCTAGTTGTTTTTTGTTTTGTTTTTGGTTGGTCTTGAGGCTTGAACTTTGGTCCTGGGCGCTATCCCTCAGGTCTTCAGCTCAAGGCCACAGCTCTACCACTTGAGCCACAGCACTTCCAACTTTCTGAGTGGTTTATTGGAGATAAAGACTCTGACGGACTTCCTGCCCTACCCGGGCTGGCTTTGAACTGCAATCCTCAGATCTCAGCCTCCTGAGTAGCTAGGATTACAGGCAGGAGCCACTGACGGGGGCCTAGTGTGCTTAGTTTTACGTGTTCAAAACGGTAGAAAAGCAATACTGATACCTAGTCATGGGCTATAGGAATTTAAATAAGGGGACTCATCACTAACATTTTTTAAGAGTATGTAGAAGCCAGATGCCAGTGTCTCATGCCTATAATTCCTGCTACTAAGAAGGCTGGGATCTGAGGGTTAAAGTTGGAAGCCAGCCCAGACAGAAAAGTCTGTGGGACTCTTAAGCTCCAACTAGTTTCCCCCAAAAAAGCCAGAAATGGAGTTCTGGTTCAAGTGGTTGAGCACTAGCCTTTGAATGCAAAAGCTCAGGGACAGTTCCCAGGCCTGAGTTCATGCCCTAGAACCAAGATCAAAAAGTACTCCCTTAAAGTCTGAACTTCATAATATCATTAGGATTAAATAGTGATAGGATCATTAGAATTAAATATAATAACATTCACATTGGTTTAGCACAGTGTATGGGACTTGCTAACAGTCAAGGGCTTGAAGGGCAGCTTTTCCATTACACATACTTGATTGCTTGAATACAGTTCATATAGGAAAGGGGCTAATGCTTGTTTTTATTTTCTTCAAAGTGTAATAGCATCCTGCAGTGTAAAGGTTTTTTTGTGTGCTTTCTGATGTATATTATGAATTAAATGGAGTGCAACTTTTTCAATCTAATGAATCCTATTTTCTCCTGTAGGTTACCATAGAGATGAATGAGCCTGTTCAGCTAACTTTTGCACTGAGGTATCTGAACTTCTTTACAAAAGCCACTCCACTCTCTCCTACAGTAACACTCAGTATGTCTGCTGATGTACCTCTTGGTAAGATAATATAGTAAGTTTGAACAGTGTTTTTTAGGTAATATATGGGAAACTCCTCAGTAATGAACTTTCTTATCTTTCAGTTGTAGAGTATAAAATTGCTGACATGGGACATTTAAAGTACTATTTGGCTCCCAAGATTGAGGATGAAGAAGGATCTTAGGTGATCATAAAATCCAAGAAAATAAAAACAGCTTTTGAGAACTGCTTCTGAGACAGCAGCACCTACTGAAGTCTTGTCTGGCACCAAATTTGTATTTGAGTACATATGTAGATACTGCTTTGTAAATAACCTATTTTTTGCTCAATTTCTCTACAATTTGTTTAAAAATTAAAATCCAAAGTCAAATCTTGTTAACCTAGAAATACTTTTGCCTTACTTAGAAATACGATAATTTTTGTATAACAAAAGGATCGAAGGGTTTTCCAATTTAAATAAAGTTGCCTGAATTTCACATCCCAAGGACAGTGCCTTCATTTGGACCATGACCCCTTTTATGTAAATGTAAAAACTAGCAAAATATTTCAAGTACAATAGGTGACCAGAGAGTTGGATGAGTTCATTACCAAACGTACTTTGTCATTGTATCTCCAAGTAGAATGAAAAAGGAACAGTAGATTAGGTCAAGTATATTTTGTCATCATAGCAAGATTTAACACTTCTAAAGGCACCCCAAGTCTCATGAGCTTTATATTGTATGGTTTTAGCCTAGACTTAAAGAGTCTTGAATTCAAGAAGCTTTGGTAGGTGGACCCAAGAAACTTTTGGGGGTTGTCTTAAGGAGAATGATTGTTCCGGGCTTTTTCTCCCTTAAAGGATGGATTAAATTTCAAGGATGTTGAGACCACCCAAGAAAGTGCAAAGGCCTGCATTTGTTTTTTTAAAAAATACTGGAAACAATTGCCAGTAAATTCAGTCATCCTTTCTAACAGAATATTTAGTTGGGCGTACTTGATTTGTACTTGGACTGAATTCTAGTTTATTCAGCATTAGAGTTTATTATGACCAGTAGTTACTGTGGCAATGGGTGAGAAAGGATACTGATTACAGGGGTACTCAACTATACAGATGGCAACCTTTTGAGATGATGGCAATACTTGGTCTAGACTGGTCACCACTCCAAGATTATGCAAAACTCATCCAATTGTATTTGATGTAAACTATACCTTAAACGATCTTTTCAAAAAGTGTGCCAGGCATCGGTGGCTCACGCCTGTAATCCTAGTTACTGGCTGAGATCTGAGGATCACAGTTAAAAGCTATCCCGGGCAGGTAAGTCCAGGAGACTCATCTCCAATAACCACAAGAAAACCAGAAGTGGCACTGTGGTTCAAGTGGTAGAGCGCTCGCCTTGAGCTGAAATGCTGAGGGACAGCGCCCTGGCCCAGAGCTCAAGCCCCACGACAAACCAAGAAAAAAAAAGTTTTGTGGTTAAAAAATAAATAATCCCTTCTAGGCAGACGCAGACCTCTTACCAGGAGACAGAAAGCACCAAGATTGGAGGCCACGGCAGCAGGGCGCTGACAGGCAGTGCCGTGCCTTTCACAGCCAGGGGATTGGCAACTGCTTCAGCCTCTGGGACCTACCCTGCGCCTTGGCCCATTAGTTAGGGAAGCAACTACTTAGCAGGGCCTGACTATGACCCAGGTAGATGGGGACCCGAACCCTAGACGAAACAACGCAGACAAGCCCCAACCTGTCCCGAAAGACGCCAACACTCGCGAGGCCACTTCCTGCCACTTACTACCCAGGAAGTTTACAAGAAGCCGTCGCTTCCGTGACGCGACTTCCGGCGCGCCTCCGCCCCCGCGTGACTTCCTGCGGCAGGCTGCGCTGGCTCCTGCGTCGGCGCGGCAGTTGGGCGGGCGCCGCGGGCGGTGCGTGACATGCATCCCGGGCAGCCTCGGTTGGCAACGGTGAGCGAGTTCCCCGCGCGCGGGCGGCCTGGCACAGCGCTCCGGTAAAGCGGGCGCGCAGCGGGTTGTAGCGGACGCGGCTTCCCCGCCCTCGCCTGCGCTTTCGCCGAAGACAGCCTTGAGGCCGCGGAGTGGAGCGCTGGCCTGCGCAGGCGCCGCTGGCCTCGCCCAGCAGCCAGTGTTGCGTGTGTTACGTCTAAATTCGCGTCGGGTCATTTCCAGTCCCTGGCAACCGCTGGAGACTGGCAGGAAGATAGTGTATGTAAAGGCCCTTCATGCTAGCCACTGTCCCAGGCGCTTTCCCGATGCGTGCGCGTGTGCGTGTGTGTGTGTGTGTCCTGGGGCTTGAACTCAGAGCCTGCAGGCGGTCCGTCAGCTTTTGTGCTCACGGCTAGCACTCTACCACTTGAGCCACAACTCTGCTTCGGGCTTTGCAGTGGGTAACTGGAGGTTAAGAGTCTCACGGACTTTATTGCCTTGAGTGGCTTTGAACTACATTCCTCAGATCTTAGCCTTCTGAGTAGCTAGGATTACAGGCCTGTGTCATCCGGGTTTACGGTTTGATAATTCCTTGATAGCACTCAGGTGCTGATAATTCGGGCGTTACGTTTGCGCTGGCAAAAGCTGGTTGGAAACTTGGACTGATACTTTAAAAATACTTTTACGTTTTGAGTTTTTCCGTTCTTTATAAATTCTTTTTCTTTGCTAAGAAAAAGCATGTCTCCCTCACTGCGATTTTCTTTTGTTTTGATTTGTGTATATATACAGTCAGTGGCATAGCACTGGCACAGTACGTTAACTTAATGAAAGTCAGGTGTGATAGATTAAATGTCCTAAAAATCTCATACTGGCCTTGAACTTTTTTTTGTTCTGTTTTTTTGGGTCCGGTCATGGGGCCTGAACTCTGGGCCTGGGCGCTGTCCCTCAGCTCTTCAGCTCAAGGCTAGCGCTCTACCACTTGAGCCACAGCGCCACTTCCGGCTTTTTGCTTATGTGGTGCTGAGGAATCGAACCCAGGGCCTCTGGCATTCAAGGCATGTGCTCTACCACTGAGCCACCTTCCCGGCCCGGTCTTGAACTTTTTTAAGCTTTAAAGAAGTATGTCATCGTGATCAAAACACTAAAATATCTACACAGCTTGAAACTTTTAAAAAAAAATTTATAAGGGCTGGCAATGTGGCTTAGTGTAGATTATTTGGCTAGCATGCCTGAAGCCTTGGGTTCGATTCCCCAGCATCACATATACAGAAAACCAGAAGTGGTGCTGTAGCTCAAGTGGTAGTATTAGCCTTGAGCAAAAGAAGCCCAGGGACAGCACCCAGGCCCTGAGTTCAAACCCCAGGACCAGCACAGTATGAGTTGTTTCGCTCACTGCTCATGCTCTATCACACAAGCCACAGATCCATTTCTGGCTTTTTTTGTGTGTGATTAATTGTGGAGATAAGAGAAACATGGACTTTCCTGCTTGTTCTGGCTTCTAATGGCTATGGGTCAAATCTCAGCCTTGTGAGTAGCTAGAATTACAAACACTAGTTCTTGTCTTGAACCCCTTTTAGAAAGCTTATGTATTAGCATTATTTAGACTTTTTTTTTTTTTTGGTTGGTTGTGGGGCCTGAACTCGGCCTGGGTGCTGTCCCTCAGCTCTTCAGCTCAAGGCTAGCACTCTACCACAGCGCCACTTCCAGCTTTTCCTGTGTATGTGGTGCTGAGGAACCGAACCCAGGGTCTCATGCATGCAAGGCAAGCACTCTACCACTAGCCACCTTCCCAGCCCACTACTTAACTTTTCTTCCTACTTGATTTCTGGACCAGTACATTATTAGCAAAACAGGGACAGGAGCAATTAGCAGGAATTCTTTCATAGTGTTACTTTATAGCAACAGTAACAGCTTGCTAATTTTTGGAGTTACTTAGAAAACAGTTTTCTCTATGCTGTCATTGTTTTAAAGTCTTGCTTGCGCTGGACAAGGGAGCTGAAGTTTCATGATTGCTATGAATATTTTTAACAATGACCAGATTTCTATCCAGTGCTTTTTATATAGCTTACACAGTCTAGAAGGTGAAATTGCTTTTGTAAAGATAGAAAGGGAGGCATAGCTGAAGTTACTAGTATGGTATTCATAGCTAGGAGGTTATACAAATTTACCAGAAACTTTACAGATTCTTTGCATTAAAAGGATAAAGTCAGCTGAGTGTGCTGGTGGATACCACCCATAATCCTAGCCACTCAAATCTGAGTTCTTGGGACCATGGTTCAGAACCAATTAGAGACTTCTCTTCAGTTACCAGTGAAAAACTGAAACTGGAGGTGTGGCTTAAGTGAGAGTGTTAGCTTTGAGTGGAAAAGTAAAAGAGCTTGTCCTGGACCTGAGTTCAGAACAGGTCACTCAAAGTTTGAGACTGACCCATACCGAAAAGTTAGGGAGACCCCTTCTCAAGTCATCACTGGTGTGATGGCACATCCTGTCATCCTAGCTTCAGAGGAGACTTGAAGTGAGAGTACTGCAGTTCCATATCAGCCTTAGAAAAGTCAGGGAAACAGCTTTAATAGAAGAAACCAAGGATGGTCATGGCACATACCTGTCATCCCAGCTATTGTGGGAAATCTAAAATAGGTGGATCACAGTCCAGGAATGTCTCTGGATAAGCAGTGAGACCCTAGCTCAAAATAACTGGCACATAAAAGGTCTAGAGGTATGCCTTAGTGATAGAGTACTTGCCTAGTTAAGAGATGGTACTGAGTTCAAATCACAGTACTGCCATAAAAAGGTGGGGGGAGCTGTCCCTTGAGAAGAAGCAGGCAAAATACTGAAATGAATGTGTTCCATTCCTCATGCTTCCTGGCAAACCACAAAGTTGCAAAGAATATATGCTAAGGAGGAGCAGGAAAAAAGTAGCACTATAGTGGAGTTGATAAAAATTCATACTTTGGTGTCAGGTGACCTGGATTAAAGTCTCCACTCTTCCAGCTATTCTGTGTGACTTTGGAGAAATAAGAGGCAGGGAACAATGATGAAAAATAAACTGAGTGTAGCTGTTCCTGAATGTCTTTGGCTGTCATTGTTAGCATTAGAATTAAGGAGGTTTTCACTGTTGGCACAGTGAAACCTGAGTTGCAAGATACAGTGTGACAAGGCAGCCAGAATTCCTGAAGTCATTGGCTGTAATATATTATTGTTACCCACAGAAAATAACCATCTTTTTGTTGCAGACAGTAGCTGTGTCATTGTGTTATGATGCCATCTCGTACCAACCTAGCTACTGGAATCCCCAGTAGTAAAGTAAAATACTCACGGCTTTCCAGCACAGATGATGGCTACATTGACCTTCAGGTAAGTGCAGAAGAGAAATGACAAAACTTCCTGGCTATGTTTTTCTTGAGGCTTTAGTGGAAAGACCTTTCTAGCTGGAAGTCTGGATAATTCTCACTCGGAATTAGAGCAACAAGAAGTTATCTCGGGGCAGGGAAGGGGCTCAGTGGTAGAGCGCTTGCCTTGCATGCATGAGACCCTGGGTTCGATTCTTCAGCACCACATAAGCAAAAAGAAAAAAGCCGGAAGTGGCGC